AGAACTAACTCCTTGCCCATGTGAGGAAACTGTCCTGAGCCCACTGCCAGCCCCAGAAACAGGTGTCCCCTGGGCCCATGACAGGAAATGTCTAATCCCCAGGCAGGACAGCCAGGAACTATACAGAGTGTTCAGAACATCCAGCTGCCTGCCTCCATACAGAACTAATTACATGATTACTATAAACCTTGGTCTGTGACAGAAATCTTTAGGTTTCTATGCAAATGTGCTCCCTCTTCAATAATCTGCCATTTTGATTTCCAATTTCCTAGTCTCTGTTAAGCCATCAAACAGGTGCTGTGACAGTTACCCTTTCTCCTCCTCCATCTCTCAGTGTCCTTTGCTTCCTTCCAAGGTCCTTGTAAAGCAAGAAGGACACTTTCTACGCCTGCCCTCAAGCACACATGCTTCACCTCCCCCCCTCCCCCCCGCGCCCATCTTTCCCATCTTCCTATTCTGCATGCTTTTCTAGAGCTGATCTGGAGTGCTCAATTTTTAAAAAGAAGAAAAAGAAAGGAAAGAAAATGGGTTGGGGTGGGGGGAGCCGGCAGACAAGAGCCAGCTTAAGGCCAAGCCTAGCAAACAACTAGGACCAGGGTTGGTCTTCCTTGCTGGGAGCAGGCAGGAACCCTAATGAGGTCTATGTCATCTTGGAAAAATGCACTCAAACAGAGCTGGAGTACAGTAGGTTGGGAGGGGTAATGGAGGGGTGCAGGTGTCTGTATAAACTTGCAGCAGGTCCTCAAAGGGTGATGAGGTGGGGTGGGAGGAGAGGGAGTGTTAACTTGGTTTCTTTCCCTTTCATCACTTGTGATTTTGCAGTCCCCTTTTGTTCCTCTTCATAAGGAATGGGACTCCCACCCTGAACTCAGAGGCTCCCCGAAATGGCCTAAAGATATTAGACTGGTTGATATCTAAGAGAAGCACATGTATGTGTGTACATTTATATGTATATGTATAGAAACAAAGTCATGAAATGATGGTGAAATGTGGGGCGGGGGCAATGAAAGCGGTGAAATTGTGCACTGCTCCCAGCTGCTAGAAGTGTTTGTCTGACTCTGCCTGGGCTGAGCCCAATAATCTACAAGGTCAACATAAATCAGTAATAGGCTCTTGGGATAAGTGGTCTTTAATTGCCTCCCTAAAGACACATCTTGATTTCTTTTCATCTCCCAGACCTGCTAAGGGTGTTTAATTTAAGGAGAAACCAAAGGAAGTAAAGCTGGCCCAGGAAGGGATGTTTGCACTGCTGCTTAACTGGCTGCTTCGGTTTGGGTTTGGCCTGTTAGAAAAAAACAAGCTTCCTGAGACCACCTCCACATCACCTTTTCCCTTTCCTCCGTCCCTGATTTCTTGGCAGTTCGGTGTATTTCTTGTAAAGGAAATGATAACTGGTGACAGCTGTCTCTTCGGAACCTCCCCTGCCCACTTCTAAACACACTCAGACTCTTTTGGCACAGGATAAGGTGCTGTTTGAGTTTGCTCACACTCTCCGCCCTCCACATTTGAGTTAATCAGCCAGAGTATTCAATAAATCGAAACTTTAACATTCCATAAGTGCTTTAGCAGTCAACATTCCAGCAGGGTAAAGTAGGCCAGACTTAAGATATAAAATATTATAGATTTCTGCTTGGAGGGAGGAGGGAGTCTCCGAAGGCCATGTAAAGTAAATAGCTATTTGTTGTAATTGGAGAGCAGGGCCCCCAAGGATTACCCTGGAATCCATGTGCTCAAAAAAAGGAGGGCTGAGCCCAAGTGCAGCCCCGACTCCAAATAATAACCTGTTGGCACCGCACATGCTCCCTGCTCTCCATCTGCAGTCAGTAGCCAGGAGTGTTGCAGTCCCGCCTGGCTGGTGGCATTTACATGAGGTTCACAGGGAGCCTGACATTCCAGAGGGGCACCTGTGGACTGACAGAGCAGGACTTGGGAGCCAGACTGCAGGAGAGGCCTCCTGCCAGGTGGGATGGAGCAGGCTGCTGCAGCTGCTTTGGGTTTGGAGCGATCTGGTTCTTATTTGGCAAAGGGCCAGGGCAGCACTGTCTTGGCCCCGATGGTCTGACAGGATGGCTGAAGGAACCAGATTAAATGACACATTAGCCAGTCATCTAGCTAGGTTCTGAAACAGTGGGGCCCAGGACAGATCCCTTTTGATTGAGGCCCTGGGGGGGGGGGGAGAGGTGTAAGGAGAGAAGAGTCTGGAAACTGTCGAGAAAATACCAGAGCATGAGGTGGGCAGGTCAAGATGAGGCAGAGGAGATGGAGGTCCTGGGTCTCGAAGGGGTGAGAACTGATGACAAACTTTGTCTACTTAATACTTTGCCTCAATGCTTTGCTGTTAACACCCCTGTCCAGCTGTAGCTGGGAAACTATGAAAACGGCTTGTTTTCTCTCCCCTTTCATGCTGGCTGGGATTCAGGAGAAGGGAGAGAAATATCTGTTCCATCATCATGTGCCACTAGGTTCCCACAGTCTGAATCCAACTAATAGGAAAGTTGGCAAAGGCAAATGATGCCCAAAGACAGCTGGGCAGGGATGATTCCAGCTGTTGGAGACCCCTGTTACTGGACACAACCCAAGCGACATCCTGTATGATCTGTCCTTTGGCATCAGGGTTCACAGAGAGTTGGAGAAAAAACTGTGGTGACTCAAATGGCCACACCTCTTGGGTTTCATGATTTGTTCTCACACCAGGTCTCTGGAAGTCAGATCACAGGCTGCCCTCTGCTACTTAGTGAGCTCAGGGTAGTCTGGACCATGGGATACTTAGAGAAAGTGGCAACTACTGTGATTGGAAGCTCAGAGATAAGCTGCCTTAGCAAAACAAAGATCTTTAGTAGAAAGGATTGGTGTCCCTCAGAGTTTAGTGCCCAGAACAGAATCAAAGAATGGCTTGAGGTCTCCTTGCCAGATAGGCCACTCTACTTTGAGTGTGCTTCTGTTTTTCCACAGCGCTCTCTAGACACAGTAGAACCAGACACAGAACCCCAGTGTGACCCTGCCAGGACAAGGCAGAGTGGTAGGGCAGTCCCTTCTCTCATGTTAGTAACTAGATCTCTGAATACAGACTACCCCCACTTTTGTTTTCTATTTTACACTAGGTTCTAATACATTTTTAATTTTTAAAAAAGCATCAAGGTGCACAGTCTGTAATCCCAATGCCTAGGAGATGGAGCAAGAGGATCAGGAGTTCAAGGTCATCCTTAGCTGCATAGAGAGTCCAATTTCAAGGCCATCCTGAACTACATGAGACCAAGTCTCAAAAACAAATAAAAATGACTTAAGACAGTGTTTTACTACGTAGCCCAGGCTGGCCTCCTAATTCTTGGAATCACGAGCGTGAATCAATTTTCCTGGTGTTTGTTTGCTCTTTTGTTTCAATTTGGTGTTTTCCAGACAGGTCTCCCTATGTAGCACAGGCTGGCCTCAAGCTTGGGACACTCACCCTTCCAGCCTCCTAATTCCTGGAACCACGGGTGTGACTCAGTTTACCTGGTGTTTGTTTGTTATTTTGATTTTATGTTTTCCAGACAGCTCTCCCTATGTAGCACAGGCTGGCCCTGAGTTAGCTATCTTCCTGCCTCAGACCCCCATGTATTAGCAGTACAGATGTATGCCTCTACATGGAGATAATGTTTAATTTTTATGTGACCTGTTTTACATTAGCTTTTTGAAATTTTATTTTTCATTGTGTGGGTTGGGGAGGAAAGAGAAGCACCAGTGCATGTGTGGAGGTCAGAGGACAACTTTCAGCAATCAGTCAAGTTCTTTGCTTCTGTCATGTGAGTCCCAGGGATCAATCTCAGGTTGGAGGCTAGGCAGCCATTGCTTTTATTCACTGAACCATTTTGTCGGTCCTTTTAAAAATTATTCTATTTCTTTAGTGTATGTGTGTGTGAGTGTCCACGAGCATGAGAAAGAGAGAGAGAGAGAGAGAGAGAGAGAGAGAGAGGAGAATGAGTGAAGGGATGTTAAGTCAGGCATACCTACCACCCACAGTGGCACGTGTGGAGGTCAAAAGGACAGCTTGGGGAAGTTCTTGACTTCTACCTTGTGAGTTCCCTGAATTTAATTCAAGTGGGCAGCTTTGAAAGCAGGTGCCTTTACCGGCTGAGCCACTTGTCAACCCTACATTAGCTTTTCAATAATCCTGCTAATGAGCTAACTGCCCAATGAAATCCCAGAGGCCATTGCTATTTCAGTTTCACTGGGCAACACTGCCCCACTGTAAAGACAGGCAGACTTATATATAATTAAGATACACATAACACACAACACCAAAACCAAAAAGAAAAAAATTAAGTGCACAGAAATACAAAAGAATAAAGATAAGACTCAGAAGATTTGAATGTGAAAAGCAAAAGACTAACCCTCAAGTGTCCCATAGACTGGTGGCAGAACTGTATGTAGATCCTTCAAATAGATCAGAATGAGTCATACAGTCACATACCGCTAAAGCTACCATGATTGACTGCCTATACTGCCAGCCTCACCACTAGAGCTTCTTAGAAAACTTCCCACTGGACTTTTCAACCTGATTGCAGAACCAAGTGCTTCTAAGTTTTTACTTTAGCACTTGGGATACAGAGACAGAAAGTTAGCCTGGGCTACATTGCCAGCTACTTTCTCATTAAAAAAAACTTTCTTATTACAGTTATATATTTATTTATCTATAGTGTGTAAGAGAGACAAACACAGACACACAGACACACACAGAGAGAGGGGGGAGGGAGAGAGAGAGAGAGAGAGAGAATGTGCCATAGCACACAGTGAAGGTCAGAGGACAGCTTGCAGGAGTCAATTCTCCCCTTCCACCATGTGGGTCCCAGGGATCAAACTCAAATCATCAGACATGACAGCAAGCACTTTTACTACCCTCTGAGCCATCTCAACAGCCTCAAATTTCTTATCTTTGTGGGATCAGTTCTATTTCCTGTAGAATATTCAAAATATTACCCTTAATAATTGTAGTTTGGGCATGAAAGATAGCTAGGTGTGTGAGCTCAGTGTATGCCTTCAGACTGTTATGTCAAGTTTTTGGTTTCTGCTGAAGATGTGGTTAGAGGGAGGAATATCAAAGAATCTAGCCAGGCAGTGGTGGCACATGTCTTTAATCTCAGCACTCTGGCGGCAGAGACAGGCAGATCTCAGTGAGTTCAAGGCCAGCCTGGCCTATAAAATGAGTTCCAGGACAGGCTCCAAACTACCCAGAGAAACCCTGTCTCAAAAAACAAACCAAATAAACAGAAGAGGAGGAGGAAGAAGGATCTAGTTGACTGTTAACATCTTTACCTAGCTAATAGATGGACTGGGCTGGAGAGATGGCTCAGCCATTAAAGGCTAGGCTCACAACCAAAAGATAATAGATGCACTGTTTCAGAACAAAATTATGAAGTCTTCAGTACTATTTTGATTTAGTTTCTGTGTCCCTTTACCCTCTTCATAATTAATATTTTATTCTCATAGGGTAAATGAAAACATTTCAAATCTTCACCTCTAACCTTGTCAGTTAAAAGGACATTGCTGAGTTCTTCCCTTTCCCCTTAAAGTTGCAACATCTCAAATAGGTTTGGAGTCCAATGCTACCTGCCAACTCAGCCATGGCTCAACTTTAAATTCTCAAGAGAGGGCAGGAGACTGACGGGCTTGTCAGTTGGGGGCTGAACAAGCTAACAATGCTTGCAGGCCAACTTTTCCCTCCTGCAGTAAACAGGGTGGACAAACTTCGTGCATGGCCTGTATGGCATTCATTAGAGTCAGCTACAGGCAGTTGACAGCCTCATTTGGTTTTTAAGGACATGAATGCTAAGAGGGTGAAAAATACATTCAGCTTAGAGGACAGCAAGGGAGTGCAGGTCAGTGTCAGGTAGGAACAGGGTGGCTTGGCATTGGGAACACTGCTTTGCCATGTCTTGAAAGTGCGGTATTCCACTACACTGATAATGTAATTATGGAGCAATTGTTAGAAAGACTTCCCATGGTTTCTTCACCTAGCATACCTAAGAGGCCTGGAGGTGTAGCCTAGGGATAGAGTTCTTTCCTAGCATGCCCCAAGTTCCAACCCCAACACGACAAAAGAAAAAAGAAAATCATAGTTTTAAGTGGAGGAAAGGTTTGTTTCCCCATTTTACGCATGAGAAAACTGAGGCTTGGAGAGATTGAGCACTTTTTTCTGAGGTTTTCATTTCTTGCTGCGGAAGACAGGTTCATCAAGATGATTCTCCATGGATACCCGGGGCTACCTATAGTTGGGGGTAAATGACTGGTAAATCTTGTCACCTGAACAGTTTTTTTCTAGCTCTATGTTAGTAACAGTATGGTGTTCTACTTTTTGTCCCAGGAATTCTGGAATTTATCAGCTTGGCTGTAGGGCTGATCAGCATTCGGGGAGTGGACTCTGGCCTGTACCTAGGAATGAATGAGCGAGGAGAGCTCTATGGATCGGTAAGTTTCAGCTTTTCTATTTATCAGAGGTTATTACCACCAGTGTTTGGACAGCCTAAGGCAAAGGATAAAATTGTTTATCGAGCAGTTGAAAGCCCTTTTATGTGACTGTAAAGGATTGGTGTCTTCTTGTTCCAGGCTGCTCAGGGCCTTTCTCCCTAATACCTTCATTTGTTCAGCCTTCCTCCCAAACAAGGTTTTCTGTGATACATTTGCTTCACCTTTTCCATTAGAGGGCCTGCTAGTGCTATGATACCAGGAAGCCATGCTGCTTTGTCGGTAGGTGCTCAGGCTTTACGGCATTAACACTTCTAAAGAGCACATTTTAGTTCTAATGGGTACCCAGAGCAGTAGCTGATGAGCAGGCACAAAATAACACACAATGAAAGAGCCAGCCTTCCAGTAAGAATTCTGAAGTTAACAACCCAGCCCCCGATTTCCAGATTGCTTCATCTGAACCCCAAAGGCCAAATAACACCAACAAATGAAGAATGAGGGTTCTGGGGACTGGTGACAGCCCCGACCCCTAGCTAGGAAAGGGCTGGCTGCAATAATCTCCTGTGTTCTGGAAGCTAGCCCAGCACTGGGGCATGGTAAGTGACTTTGCTGACCTTAACCCTTTCAGGGAATCCCAGTATCCTGGCTGGGACTTTTGACTCACATAGCATGCTTTCTGGCTGGCTACACCCCATGAAATCACAACACATTTTTCTCTGACACCTAGGAGATAGGCCTGTCCCCAGCACTCGGTATCGGGCACCCCAGCAAACAGCATGGCAGGCCAGAAACAGGAACCCCAGGAGCTGCCAGCTTGAAGTAGCCAGATTGGAGGAGCTTTTCAAGGAGATCTTTTCTGAGCTTTCCAACTGTCAGGCTGCTCATTAGGAAAGATCACAGCTCACCTCCCATGCAGCTTTATATAGACCCATGGCCTTTGCCTGCCAGTTGATGTGGGTGACTGTAATCTCAGTGCATTCAAACATTATTAGCCCTAAGTAGGAAGAGAGCTTGGTGGAACCCAGAGGGGCATTGGAAGGCCATGATAGAAATTCTGGGGTTTAAAGAGCCAGCGAAGGCCAGCTCCTCAAAATCCTTTCAGGAAAGTTCACACCCAAAACATTTTTGTGTGGCCTGTGAAAGAAGATGAAGAAGACACAGTGGAGCAGGGGGAAGGTTGGGGGGGTGCTGCTTGGAAGAAAGACTCCTTGGTCACACAAGGAGACAGGACTGAAATTTTCTAATCTCCATGTGCTGTTGCTATTTCAGGGTTTCTCCACCAGCAAACTGGGATGGGAGGAATAGTCATATAATGGGCTCTGCTTTATTTTCTCACCCTCACAGAAGAAACTCACCCGAGAATGTGTTTTCCGGGAACAATTTGAAGAAAACTGGTACAACACCTATGCCTCCACCTTGTACAAACACTCGGACTCGGAAAGACAGTATTATGTGGCCCTAAATAAAGACGGTTCACCCCGGGAGGGATACAGGACTAAACGACACCAGAAATTCACTCACTTTTTACCCAGGCCAGTAGATCCTTCTAAGTTGCCCTCCATGTCCAGAGACCTCTTCCGCTATAGGTAATGGCCCTCTGGTGCCACCTCTGTGACCCATGTACTCTGTGGCCATGGTTGGCTCTGCAAACACTATACTCGTAGCTTTTCAATCCTTCCTTCCTATCAATTAGATAACAGAGAAGCACTTACCATTCAACTTGACCCAGCTGTCCCCTTGTTCAAAGTGTATATCGAAGTTGGTTATTTTGGGGAGGGACATGGGGGGAGGGATGGGTCAGTGGGAATCTTGTATATATTTTTTGCTTTACTCATGTTCTTTCGCATGAGGTGGCATGACAAAGAACAGCCCCACCCCCACTAAGGGCCAAGGCTGTCTTGCCTCACAATCTACCCAGATACTTTGAGATGGGGTGCAAATGAAAGACCAAGGAATCTGCCACAGATGCTACCTACAGAGCTCTGGGAAAGTGTCGTTTGGAAACTCCTAGGGGCTCCCTGCTGCAAGCCATCCCTGCCCTGGCTCTGCAGATCTCTCGTTCATCCTGACATGCAGTTTTCCTGCCACCAGAGTGGGAGATATGGGGTAGGTTGTAAGGAAACGATATTAAAATGTAAGCATGGATACTGTGCATAAGGACAAACTATTTATGAAATGTATATGCTATTTATTTTATATATTTATTTATTTCAAAATAATTTTATTTTTAATGAGAGATGCTATGACTGGATTTTCATCAGAAAGAATAAGGTCCTACTGAAACAGGAAAAATGAGTTATTAAAGGCTTTTATTGGCAATAAAATTGTCTTTATATTATAAACCAGTGTCTAATTCTATTGATTTGTGCATTCAGTAGAATGAAAAGGCTGGCCAACTTCTTTCTCTCCAGGTCATTAGAATTCCTGATGGCAGGCTCATGTAGCTTGGGCTGAGTGACTCCATCATCCAGTATGGCAGCATTATCTGGGGGCCTCCTTCAAGACCTAGAACTCCTTTCTTGGAACTTTAAGAAGGAAGGCCTCAATCAACAGCTCTTACTGAAGTTCCTACTGTAAACATTTAGGATTGGGCATAGAGGCACCCTCCTTAGGGACTTGATGAGGGCCCTGTGCTCCAAGGGCAGGCACTTAATTGGTGGACTTTTACTTCAGATGTGAAGGTAAAGCAATTTAAAATAGTAGTCAGCAAGGAGAGGAGTTTTTGACCTAGTCAGCTTCCCTTCAAGAAGATATTATCTTACTGACATCTCTTGCCAAGTCTCCTTCTGGGAGATTCTGGGAAACTGTCAGCATATCCCCTTAGAGTAGCAGTGCTCATAACACATGGTCTCTTGCCCAGCAGTGTCACCTGGAAACTGCTCAGGGATAGAAAGCATTAGAAATTTTGGGCAGGGCCAGACACCTTGCATGGTATCAAGCTTTCCAGGGAACTCCTAAGCACAGAATGCTACAATTTGAGAATTAACACCCTAAAGATATTTTGCCTTGGCATCCAAATGGTTCATAAGTGAATTGGTGGGATAGTGTTAATCTACAGAAAGAAGGAGGCATGCCCCAGAGCTCTCTCTCTCCCAGATCAATCCTAAGGTATCTTGTTTTCAAATCCCTGAACTCTTGACTGGTATTTCCAGAATAGGGATAGAAGAGATTGTAACCAAAGGGATAAAAGTCTTGTTGAGCACACGAACAGTATGAAGGCCTGGTGGGCAAAGGTTTGGGAATCTAGGCTAGTTCTTCCTAATCCTACCCATCACATAGGCATCGACTATTTTTCTAATTAATTGAACATGTGAGTCAGACTGACTAGATACCAGCTCACTTGAAAAACAACACCAGTAGTATAGGTATAGATCAATGGCGAAGTGCTTCTTAGCATATGCCAGGCCCTAGATTCCATCCCTAACACGGTGTCCAGCAACACAAAAAGAGCAAATCCAAAAGAGCTATAAAAGCTCACTGAAATTTAAGTGCCCAATAGAAAAGCCACAATATGGAGATACATATCTAAAATACCAAATAAGACTGTGTGGTGAGAGCTAAACTGAGGGCTGGGATATAGCTCAGTGGAAAAGTGCTTAATTCCCATTCATGGTTCAATTCCTAGTGCTGAAAAAAGGCAAGTTATTTCATGACATATATGATCATTAACTAGTATGCTGATTGTTGGAATCCCCAAAATGGACATTTCGGTGGTCTAGGCCTGCTAGGGTGTTTTCCAATAAGGATAATGTCTGCTTTGAAGAACCAACAGGATTAAGGAAAGTAAAGATCGGATTTTTATGTTAAACTATGGTAAACACTATCTGTAAAATTCTCCAAGATTAAAACCCAGCTACATTTAAAAACAATTATGTGCTTTTGAGACAGGGAATCTCTGTATATCCCAGAGATACACAGAAACTTGCTATGTATCCAAGGATGGCCTCAGATTCACAATCCTTCTGCATCAGCCTCCTGAGTGCTAACTTTACTGGTGTACAGTACCTCACCTGGATTATCAATGTCAGTAATGAGCATCAGACCTTGATGAGTTTTTGTTTATGTATTTGTTTGTTTGTTTGTTTGAGACAGGGCTTTCCTATGTTGTCCAGCTTGCCTCAGACTCCTTCGATCAAGTGATCTTCCTGCTTCAACCTCTTGAGTGCTAGCACTACAGATGTGTAACACCACACACAGTTTTATACCTTGATAATTGTAGTTTTGGTTGTTAGGTTTGTTCTTTTTTTGTTTTTGTTTATTTTTAGATGAAGCATTATATAGCCCAGACTTGCCTTTAATTTGGTTTACAGCTGAAGATGGCTTTGAACATTTGATCCTCTTTTCTCTACTTCACAAGTACTGCAATTATAGGCACATACCATCATACCTGGCTGCACCTTGATTTTATTTTTAAATCACTTTTATTACATTGCTTATTTAGTGTGTATGTGTATGTATGTATGTGTGTGTCTGTCTGTCTGTAGACAGTTCTCTAATTTTTCTATGTGGGACCTGGCAATTGAAATAAAATTGTCAGGCTAGACAGCAAGTACCTTTACCACTGAGCCATCTTACTGGCACTGTATTTTGGTTTTAAAACCTAAAATTTCTCTTCTAGAAGATTCAGTGTGGCTGGATTTATGCTGAGATCTTTGATCCATTTGCACTTAAGTTTTGTGCATGGTGACAGGTATGGATCTATCTGCAATT